AGCCAACTGGCCTAAACTCAGAAAACGCTGAGGCCGTGAAAGACAAAAACGGTGAAAGGACTGTTGTAGAGGAACAGAAGAGTTCTAGGGGAGTCTGGGGCAACAGGACAAGCAAGTGTGGGATGTGAGCTGGGATTCTACCCTAGAGAGAAAACTGCCGAGACTTTGGGAACAGCTGGGGACATGTGACTCTGGTTTGTAGACTGGGTCATGCGCTATCGAGGATAGACTTCTTGGTGTGACAATGGCACTGCTGTGTAGAAGAATGTTCTTCGGAGACATACATTTGTTCTTTGGCTGTGAACCACCTAAAACTTGCAGACATCGTGGTGTTTTGTCCTCCAAATACCTCTGTGTGGGTGTGTCCACAAATGTGTGACATGAAGTGGAAAGAGAAAATTAAGCAAAGGTGGCAAAGGCTTGAAGGCTGGGGGGTCTGGGTGCTGGGTGTACACAGGTGTATGGTACATTGTCCTATTCTTTCCATTTTTCTGTAAATGTGAAATTCCCAAACAATAAATTTGATGGGGTGATCATGGTAACAGATTTCTCCCTGAAACAGCAGCCTCTACCAGGGCATTCGTGCCCAGGCTTTGGGGAGCCCAAATGCACTGACATTGTCCATGCAGTGACCCTGATCTGCAGCTCCACCCCTCTCTGCCTGCCTCTACTGTGTCCTCTCCATCTGCCCAGCTCCCGTCTCTCTACTGCACTGAATGATTGTTTGTTTGGTTTCTTTTTGGCAGCTCAATCTTCAAAGGTGCCCACGGAATGGAACATGCAGACCAAAGGTCTTGTGGGTTATGTTCACTTTGTGCTAAATGCCCATCAATCCCATCCCAACGGCCCAATTTTACCAATGAGGAAGCCAGGGAAGGTTTCTCATTTCACCCAGAGAGGGATGGTGACTTCCAGGAGCAGGAAATGTGGACCTGGTCCTAGCTCTGCCCCTCCTCATCCTTGCCTAGGGTGCCAGCAGAATGTCTCCCTGGAGAAAATGCCTGGGAGACCCCAGGGAGCATTGACAGTCTGAAGTCCTGCCCCTTTTGTGAGAAGCTGCAAATCATGGGAACATTTCACAGATCACAGCACCCATTGCACCAGCAGATGGACACATTCCAGAACATTCTGTGACCTCATGCCCCTGTGGATGCCCTTAATGGGTCTCTCAATTAGAGTCTATTATTTAAAAAAAGAATACTGCATAATGAAATTGGGCCATAAATGCAGCCATGGTGCTTTTGCTCTTTGAATCATTTTCTTCTCTCTCACCTCCTGCTCCAGCCCAATGCACACAGATAAAGAACACCTCTAAATAACTGCTCTGCTCTCCAGCCTCCAACTGCTGACTGTTGCCTGGAATCAGAAACCGTGTGGCTTCCAGATGCAGATGAAGCAGAGAAAAATGACCTGCCATGGCTTGTCTGTGGGTTTCTTAGTTACGGCCCACACGTTCTCCCAGCCAAGGCTGGAGTGCAGAGAAGGAACAGGGAGCCGAGAGCCATCATTCAATTGCCCCCTTTCTTATAGTCGGAGTTGTAAGGAGCACCTCCAGTGGGAAGTCCTCTGAGAAGCAATCTGGGTCCTTTGCTTTCCCTCCTGGAAGCATGAGGAGTCAACAGGGATTCCTGGGCTGCAAACAACCTCCGAGATTACACAGAAGCACAGGTGCCCCTGCCAATAGGGGGTGCATGGTGGGAGCAGGGCAGAAGCTTGGGGAACTCAGTTAGATTAGAACACCAGCCAACTCACCATGCTCAAGGAGCAGCTGCCTTGGTTTCAAGATAGAGTGGCAGGCAGAAAGTATGGATCAGACCCTAGCTTAGGGTTAACCAGCAGTCTCAACACCCACAGAGGGTGGCTCAATCCAATGTAAAAAAGAAACAAGCAGGTCCATGGCTGAGAGAGCACCTTCCACCCAGAGTGGCCAGTGAGGATTAACATGTGCTGGGTGGTCTCTAGAAGATGCCACCCAGAGCTAAAAGATCATTGCCCCCCCTCCTCCTGTCTTTCGTACAGTAAAGAGATTAAGACTGACAGCTCTCAGTTGAAAACGGAACACCCAAGCCAAGCACCTTTGTAGGTTAAATTCATTTTGTGATGAATGCCCATAAAATCTGCCCGAATGGCCCTATTTTATCAATGAGAAAGCGAGGGAAGTCTTTTCGTTTCACCCAGGGAGGCACAGGTCTTCCAGAAGCAGATGTGGGCCTGGCCAATATGCAGTTCCATGTCTGTGCCTAGGGTGCCAAGTAGAATGTGTCCCTGGAGGAAGATCCTCAAAGAGATTGACTGACACAGTGGCTGCAACAATATACCTACTGGTGTGAGGATGGAACAGGAACAGGCAGCATTAGGTTCTGTTACACATAAGGTTACCATGAGTCAGAGCTGACTCGACAGCACCTAACAACAGAGAACTCTTTGGCAAAAGACCATGGTAGTGAACAGATGGACCATCTAAGGAAAATGCAGACATCTCCAAGAAAGCACACCGAGGCTCACCTGCACACCCCACACACTCTGAGCATGAACAAGGATGTTTACCTTCAAAAGAGAAGACTCAGATAATGTGTGATCGTCCTCCAGAAAGTCAAACAGAGAGCAAAGGGCAGAAGAAACAGGAGAGAGAGAACCAAGACAAACTCCAAGCTGCTTCAGAAACTTGAAGTCAAAAGTCATCACAGGAGGAAAAAGAAATTTTAATCCTCTAATCCTTAATCCTATAAAGAGTTAACTCTGTGGGAACAGGGAATGTTGTCTCTATTTCCCTGGGAAGAGAGGAGTTCCCCATCACTTGGAACATTCAAGGAGAAGTATGATCTCTGTATGACCACTGCAAAGATAAACTCATGAGGAAACCAGCCCTGAATGAACCAATGTCTTTTCATGTCCCTCTGACTCCAGGGGATGTAGCATTTCCTATGAGAAAGAGAAGCAGGGTCCCTCATTGGGGGCTGAGTTAGGACCATGGTGGGGCGGCGTCTGCTTCTGGGACCCTTTGCAGGTTGGAAACCTAAATCATCTCAGTCTTGTGGAGGACCAGCTCTGTGACACCGAGTATAACCACTCAGCCTCTTGACGCCCAGTTTCAGTCAAAGACTGTCACTCCTCCTCATTGGAGGTCAAATCTTACAAGTCTTCACGAGAAGCCCCAAGTGTACTCCAAGCAGCCCCCACCAAAGCATAGCGCAGTGTGCCAACATGCAGCACTGTAGTAGTTTTGCACGTTTGATTCCCCAAAGTCAACCTCTTCCATGAGAAAAATAAATAAATAAAACTTACAGACAGCTACTGCTTCTGGTCTCTGGATGGACTGAAGAGGCCTTAATACAGCATTCCATGAAATAAAATCTTAAAACCAAGAGAGTCAACAAAGACCTTATCAACTGTCAACTTTGGCCTGGAAATCTGAGGTCCCCAGACTTCTTCCAAAGGCCCTATGTCCTGGATGAAAGGGACACTTCTACCTGGGATATAATGTTAAAGGCACCCTCAGACTTCTCATGGGAAGCCTGAGTGCTCCTGGGTTTCAGTCCAATGGCCCAAATGCTTAGGGGCAGGTGACACTTTGGGTGCCACCTGCTTTAAGAAATTTTGTAGGTCAACTTTTTCTAAGGAGCAAATCACCCCATCTAGGAGATTGCACCAGGACCTGGAAATAGGCCAGTGGACACGCTCCTGCTGAGTAGGACAGCCAGAGCCCAATTCCATCCAAGAGTCAGGAACTTCCATTCCAACAAATGGGTGGGAGGGTGGTAGTTTTAAGATAATATGGCAGGGACAATGATGGTGGAAAGTCCCCTCTGTGAATTTGGAGGTCAGTCTGTCCTTTAGTCCCTCAACGTGCTAGGAGACTGGCAGGTCTTCCCTTCGGGGTCATCCCCTATTGAGAGCTGGGAGGAACTTCACTATCTCGAAGGAATTGCCCCCTGAGATTGACAAGTTCCCAGCAGGCCAAGACATAGCTCACTGCCCCTAAGCTCATCCTGAAGCCAACTTGAACTTTCCTTTATTTACAAATCAAATGCTATTGGAGACCATCGTTCTTGAAATATACATGTACATTTTTAACAAGGAACGCCCTGTCATTTTTTTTTTATTAGGAAACAATACCACATCCCCTACTAATATCTTTCTCACCCAAGCGTTCCAACATCATCATTCTTATCCGTGCAGTAGATGCTGCACAAAATCGTCATCATCATCACCATCATCAAATAAATAAGGAAATAATAAAATAGATACTCTGTGGTTCCAACAATTTTCCAGTTTCCTCCTGACACTTCCAGTTGCATGGAAAATTGTTGGAGCGGAAGATGACAAAATTAGAAATGTCTTTAATAAATTATCGTTGGTTTTTGATTACTTATTCCATTGCTAGTTTTGTGTTCTTGCATCGATAATGCATAGCATTTAGCAAAGTGCATGCTTTTTAAAAAGTCTGCATGGGCAAGCGGAAATGATTTGAGTTCTCTTGCCCACCCACCCCTCAAAAGAAGTTAATATCATTTAGAACCCAGCATTTGAAAATATGGACGTGGCACACCTCGGATAGAGACTGCTCATGAGACATGCTTGGTTTGGCAAGACGAGAAATCAATAACTCGTGGCTTTTGTTTTCCCCTTGTATTTGGAAGCAGCCGGAAGCAGGCTATTAACAAAATCATGTGGTGGAAAAGAAAAATGAGTACCTAGAACTCTCCATGTCGTCACATGGTCCACACGCGCACAGAAGCACTCGGGTGTGGGCTGGCATGTGCTTTCGTGCCCACTCACACGCACACGCACACGTGCGCACACACAGGCAGCCACCCACTCCTTGGGGAGGAAAAGAGAAAGGCGTTAAGAGACCACGGTGGGTGGGCGCTCGAAGGCTCTCGGCTGGGTGTGCAGCTCCAGGTTGGGCATCCTCTCTGCTCTGTTTCCATAGTCTTGGGAAAGCCACCCCAGAGATGGAGCAGGTTGCGCGGGAGAAATGTAAGGCATACTTTGCTGGGAAGGAAGGAATCCATGCTTCATGCTCAGATGCGAGTTTCAGAGGAGGACAGGCTTTATTTTCCCTTGGCCTGCTCTGCCTCGCGGGAGAGGTGGGGGAGAAATGAAACGAAGAAAGAAGGGGCAGAGGGGTCATGACAGCAACAACATAACCAGTGAGGATGGAACAACAAATAAATAACAAAGGAAAGAGGAGCTGGGCCAACGGCACTGAACGTCAAGTATGACATGACTGTCTGTGTCCCTCGCCCACCCTAGATGGACTTCCGCCGTCTCATCAGCCTGTGGTTGTCGGTAAAGCTGTGTAACCCGGGGGAAATGGAGCTAATGGGCGATGGGAAGAGGCTGTTTTTCAGTGTGCTTGGAGAGATCTCCTCCATCTTGTAAGAGATGGAGTGAAAGTACTGGGGGGCGAGTTTGGTGCTGAAGGAGTTCTGGTGGGCCGCCGGGCGGTACTCATGCGAGCGGTAGCACATGCAGGAGCACACCGACTGCAGGTCCGCGACGTCCGCCTTGTACCGCGGCCGGCCCTGCTGGGCCTCCTCCTGGATGTGGATGACCATGCTGTGGCGGTTTCCTGCCAGCGAAGCCCGCTCCTCAGCGTCCCGCCGCTCATCCTCGCTGTTCATGGTCAAGAACCTGAGGACGACCAGGTTGAGGAAGGCCCCGATGACCGTCAGCCCCACCAGGATATACATAAAGCTAAAGGCCACGTAGAGCGGCTTCTTTTGAAGGGCACCCTTGGTCTGCAGGGCCACGTAGTCCCCGAACCCAATGGTAGTCAACGTGATGAAGCAGTAGTAGTAGGCGTGGAAGAAGCTCCACTCCTCGCACTGGGAGAAGGCGGCCGCTCCGATGCACAGCGTCCCCATGCAGGAGAAGAAGCCCACGGTCACCATGTTCTCCATGGACACCTCGGTGTTGCGCATGCCACAGCACTTCTTGATGCGCTTAAGCAGGTAGCGCACAAAGGTGTTCATCCGCTCGCCCAGGCTCTGGAACATGACGAGAGTCAGGGGGATGCCCAGCACGGCGTAGAACATGCAAAAGGCCTTGCCTGCGTCGGTGCCTGGGGCAGCATGCCCATAGCCTGGACGGAGAGAGGAGAACAGAGAGAAGCAATGAGGAAGAGTCATTTCAGTTGGGATGAGGGTTTGGGGGAATTTCATTCAGCATGGGGTTTGGGGCATCCATCATGAACAATGGAGGTGAGAAAGTTGTGGAAGGAGCAACTTCAAAGAGCTGAAAGAAAACATTGTTAGTCCCGAGGAAATTTCCTTTAAGAATGAAGGCAAAAGAAAGACGTTTCAGATTAAAGGAAACTAAGAGAATGTGTTGCCATCAGACCTGTATGACAAAAAATATTAAAGGAAGTTCTCCTGGCTGAAGGGAAATGGCACCGTATGGAAACGTATGTCTTCAGCAAAGAAAGGAGGACGTTGGAGGTAAACAAGTGGGTAAGTATGACAGACGCAGGGGTGGGAATCTTACTGCAACCTCATTTGGCTCACCTGTGTAGTGGATGCAAATGCCAGATGGTGGTGGAGAATAACAGCAGATTTTTGGGAATTTAATAGTCTGGTAAAACTAACAGTTCCAAGTGGGATATACTTACTGGAGAAAATACACAGTGTTGGCTGGCTCTGTGCCAGGGTCTCCCACCACCCTCCTTCCTATCAGTCCACATGGCCTGTACAGCAGTACACCTATAATGTCGTATCTCAGGGTTATGTCAATTCTCCTGCTGTTGGTCCTGTCAGAGTCTGTACATCCCACAGCACATCTCACTGGTGCATTACGTTGATGACCTTGTGCTTCCTTCGTAAGACATATGCATGAGAGTGTGGGACATGATCACCATCCAAGCCCAGGTGCCTTCCACATCAATGGAGCACTGTGGGTCATAGGGCTTCTCCTTCTAAACTGAGAAACAAGTTGCTGAAGTGTCCAATGCCTACTGTGCAAAAGAAAGCTGTGCAGGATATCTTTGCTTTACTCACCTAGATCCATTCTCCATCATCTCACCCCGGGGAGCTAGCTCTGTGAGCTACATCAGAGTGTTCCTGTGCCCTCTGGTTTCCAGTTGAGTTCATCCGATGGATAGGCCCAGTAGGAGGTCAGAGGAAGGGAGAAAACTGAGGTCCCTGGCAATTAGCAGCATCTCTCTACTGAAAGCCCATTAGCTAGCTGTTCCCATTAGCTAGCTCCCAACAAATAGCTACTCTCTACAAGTTCCAGTAACTGCCCCAAAAGTGGTCACAGCTCTCCACTTGGTCCTGAGGTGACCACACCTTGCTTTGTTGCTTTCTCTAAACTCTGTGCACACTTTCTGAAAGAGTTTATAAATGGCTCATTGATTAATTACTCAATCTGAGTGTGCTATTTCCTGCAAAGACCCTAACTGACACCCACATGAACAGGAAGCCCCTGACTCATGATGGGATTCCATTCCAACAACTCTGTCATCAATCAGTTCTGATGTAAGGTGAACCCCTCAGTTTTTTAAAAAGTTTTCCTTTATGATTGCCTTTTATTATCAGTATTTTTATCAATCCGCTCTGTCTTTTTGGGATGGCATGAGAATGATAACATCAGCAAATTACATGATGAAACACTGTAGGTGGTGCATATTACTAACAATAGATGGAAAAAAAAAAAAAAAAAAAACAGACAGACAGACAGACAGCCGGACAGTCGTCGGTGTGGTTCATCACAACTCTAATATGTCCTAAGTTGGGGAGTACTGTATTCTGGTGCAAAAAAATAAAAAAGTTAAGCAGTTAACTGCTGGCTGAAAGCATCATGGTTTGAACGCACTCTGAGGCGCCTGCAAAGGCAGCCCCGGCCATCTGCTTGTGAAAGGTCACAGCCTTTGAAACCCTATGGGGCAGTGCTGCTCTGCACACAGGGGGTGGCCATGAGTCCGAATCAACTTGATGACAACTAGCAACAATCTCAATTAGATCTGTTCCCCACACCTGCTTCTGGTACAACCCTGCAGACACTGTGTGCAACACAGGTCTTCAAAAGAATACTCACACATACATGTATGGAACACATACATGCATGGAACATATCTGGGTATGGAACACACCTATGGGTACCTGACAAAAACACACATGTGTATTTAAAACTTCATGAACAAGATGTATGTGCTATGTCGAATAGGGGCACATATACAGAAACATACATGCACAAGATACGTACTAAATATACAGACATACATAGACAGGTATATACACAAATGCACATATATGTGTACAAGCACCATTCAACTGTCAATGTTGTGGTACGGTGGGTTTTGCATGTTGCTGTGATTCTGGAAGCTGTGCCACCAGTATTCCAAGTACCAGAGGTCACCCATGATGGAGAGGTTTCAGCGGAGCTTCCAGACTAAGACAGACTGGGAAGACAGACCTGAAGATCTACTTCTACAAAAAAAATGAGCCAGTGGAAACGTTCTGAGCAGCAGAAGAACACTGTTCTGGAAGATGAGCCCCTCGGGTTGGAAGGTATTTGAAACACAAATGGGGAAGAGCTGCCTCCTCAAAGGAGCGTCGGTCTTCATGCTGTGGCTGGGGTGAAGCTTTCAGGACCTTCACTGGTTCGTGTGGCATGATGCAGAATGAGAAGAAACAGCTGCCAACATCCCTTTATACCAGGAACATGGAATGTACAAAGTAAGGATCTAGGAAAATTAGAAGTTGTGAAAAATGGACTGTATCCCAGAGATGGACTGGTATTGGCCATTTTTAATTGGACAATCACATGGTCTACTATGCCAGGAATTACAAATTGAAGAGGAATGATGTTACATTCATAAAAAAAAAAAAAAAAAAACATTTCAAAACCTAGGCTGAAGTGCAGTGTTGTCAAGTGATAGGATAATATTCATGGGCCTACAAGGAAAACCAGTTAATACGATTATTATTCAAATTAACCCACCAACCATTAATGCCAGAGATGAAGAAACTGAAGATTTTTAGCAATTTCTGCAGTCTGAAATTGATCAAAGATGTAATCAAGATGCATTGATAACTACTGGTGATTGGAATGTGAAAGCTAAAAACAAAGAAGGATCTGAAGTTGGGAAATATGGCCTTGGTGACAGAGACGACACCAGAGATCACATGATGTAATTTTGCAAGCCAATGACCTCTTCATTGGAAGTACTTTTTTTTCAACAACATGAATGGCAACTATACACATGGACCTCACTGGATAGAATACACAGGAATCAAATCTATGACATCTGTGGAAGGAGATGATGGAGAAGCTCAATATCATCAGTTACAACAAGGCAAGGGGCTGACTGCAGAAAAGATCAGCAACTGCTCACAGGAAAGTTTCAGCTGAAGTGAAGACAAGTCCTTGAGAACCAAAGTGCAGCCTTGAGTACATCCCACCTAAATGTAGAGACCATCTCAAGAATAGCTTCAGTCTAATGACCAAAGACCAGATGAGTTGTGGGATGACATTAAGGACATGATACATGAAGAAAACAAAAGGTCATTAAAAGGCAAGAAAGAAAGAAAAGACCAAACTGGATGTCAGAAGGGACTCTGAAACTAGCTCTGGAACAAAGAGTAGCTAAAGCAAATGGAAGAAATGATGATGTGAACAGATTTCAAAGGGCAGCTCAAGAAGACAAAGTAAAATGTTATAATGAAATATGCAAAGACAGGAAGTTAGAAAACCAAAAGGGAAAAACATATTAGGCATTTCTCAAGCTGAAAGAACTGGTGAAAAAAAAAAATTAAATCCTAGAGTTGTAATATTGAAGGAGTCTATGGACAAAATATTAAACAACTCAGAAAGCATCGAAGGAAGACTGAAGGAATACACAGTCATTGTGCCAAAACCAATTGGTTGATATGCACCCATTTCAGGAGGTAGCATGTGATCAAGAACCAATGATATTGAGGGAAGCAGTCCAAGATGCACTGACAGCATTGGCAAAAAAGAGGACTGCAGAAATTGATAGACTAACACTGAGATGTTTCAACAGATGGATGCAACCCTGGAAGTGCTCACTTGTCTATGCCAAGAAATTTGGAAAACAGCTCCTGGCCAGCTGACTGAGAGAGATCCATATTTGTGCCCATTCCAAAGACAGGTGATCCAAATGAACACAGAAATTATGGAATGATATCATTAATATCAAGTGCTAGTAAAATTTTGCTGAAGATAATTCAAAAATGGTGGCAGCACTATATATCAACAGGAAACTACCAGAAGTTCAAGCTGGATTCAGAGGAGGATGTCATTGCTGATGTGAGATGGTTCTTGGCTGAAGATAGAGAATACTAGAAAAATGTTTACCTGTTCACTATGCAAAGGCATTTGACTGGTGGATCATAAATTATGGATAACATTGTGGAGAATGGGAATTCCAGAGCACTTAATTGTGCTCATGAGGAACCTGTACCTAGACCAAGAGGCAGTAGGTTGAACAGAACAAAAGGATATCGCATGGTTTAAAATCAGGAAAAGTGTGCATCAGGGTTGTATCCTTTCACCATACTTAATCTGTATGCTGAGCAAATAATCAGAGGAGCTGGACTATTTGAAGAAGAACGCGGCAGGCCATCGGGATTGGAGGAAGACTCATTAACAACCTGCACTATGTAGATGACACACCCTTGCTTGCTGAAAGTGAAAGTGACTTGAAGCACTTACTGGTGAACAGCAAAGACTACAGCCTTCAGTATGGATTACACTTCAGCATAAAGAAAACCAAGCTTCTCACAACTGGAGCAATAAGGAACATCATGAGAAATGGAGGAGAAATTGAAGCTGTCAAAGATTTCATTTTACTTGGATCCACAATCAAGCCCCATGGAAGCAACAGTCAAGAAATCAAACAATGTATTCCATTGGGCAAATCTGTTGCGAAAGACCTTTTTAAAGTGTTAAGAAGCAGAAATACCATTTGACCCAGCCATCCCATTACTAGGTATATACCCTAGAGAAGTGAGAGCCACGACAAGAACAGATATATGCACGCTGATGTTCATCGC